AAAGAGCAAATAATGTGCTCTCATACTGGTATGACAGAAGTCTGATGTAACAAGTGTGGCCTATAATGAGAACTTTGTCTTAACATGCACCTTTATGCACTGTCCATTTAATTACATTAAGCATAGCAATATCCTCCATCTATAATGAAAGTCCCTCTTAGAATTTTGGCTGTAGTAAGTGACAATGAGGCTTAGCTGCTAATTTATATTCTTCACAAGTGAAATGAGCACTACTGACAAAACAGCATTCGTGCATCCTGATTCAACAGGTCTGTAGATGGAGATGGTAAAAGCCTTCACCCCCACCACTCTCAGTATGTGCAGGATAGTAGGTGTTCCCAGGGCTTGTTTAAACAATTAATGTGGGGACTTATATTCTCCATCTGCATTACTACTATCAGTTCCAGGTATCAAACATCAATGCCAATGGCTGTACCTTTGCATCTCAAAATTTTGATCTACAGCAAATGAAGAAACAGGTGATGTAATGCTCAGACCTGATTGTTTCACAAACTGCAAGGAAATCTGACAGGTTGGGGATCAACCACATTGAGAAATTTGTATTCTGAGTTTGGAAGACTCAAAATACAAGAAATATGTGTATGAGTGTATATAAACAAAGTGTAAGTCACTCTGTGGACTTCAATACAACAACAGTCCATAACCATTTTGTTAATAATATGGTCTTAAAAATTCTGCAACTCTCAGCTATTTAGCAGCATCTAAAATATTCATACTCTGAAGGCAGTAAAATCCAATTAATTGAATTATTCTACTTTAGAACAGTGCAAATGGGACTTATGAAATCTACATCACCTAAAGCCATGTTTTAATTTAAAAAGCATTATTTACACAATTTTCACCTCTCTTTTACTTATTAATGTAAGCCCTGATGTACCCTGAGATGAATGTCTTACTTACCAACATTAGCTAAGGACATTAATCAACTGCCCTGAGAATACCTTGTAATTAAAATCACAAGTTCAGCATTGCTAAAAATCTGGTTACATCAATAATGGTACTCAATCCTTAGGCCAAATATTAGGAGGTTCTTGGGACAAAAATATGAGGTAGAAAATGTAAATAAATTGTTGGATTCGTTGCCCTTCACAAGTTATGTTTCACCACTTCTTACAAAAGTGAAAGAATTCCATTTATATTTACATTTATTGTCTTTATTTATGGTATTTAATTGCAATAAATGAAAAGCAAAGATTCTGAACTTATTAGGTCTTTTCAGTTTGAATTTTACAATACATTTAACATAAATGTCACATAATGCAGTGGGGTCTCACACAATTCCATATAATTCTTCACAGAATTGCTCAAAGTTACCTTCTCCAGCTTAGGCGCTTCACACTGACATAGAATGGACACCCTGATACAAACCAGTTGTTCAGGCTGGTCCTTAATGTATGTTGCAGCTTCCAGAATACAACTGATGAGGCTGTTACAAACCTGTACTTCTGTGGCATAAATGTTTCCTCTAACACATCCCCATAAGAAAAATCATGCAGATTCGGATCAGGAGAAAGTAGAGGTCAGACAGATCTGGAAATGGCTGTTCAATCAACTACACATACAGCATGAAAAATGTGGAGGGGCAATACTATACTGAAAAAGCATGCCTTTGTGAACATTTAAGGGGTTCACCTTCCAGTAAGAGGGGAAGTACTCTCCCAAGACAATATGCCATAATATATGATCTAGTTTTAGGTAACCATCTATAATTCTGTCCCAAACACTGATGCTAGATTTTTACTGAAATAAAGAGTATCAAATAGCATGAGAATTGTCCAGTGTCCATTAATATACAAGGCTGTAGAGACTGTTTACTTCGTTCCTTGTGAATATTGCCACATTAGTCCACAATACATGGTCTGGATGATTATCATCTCCAGATAGGGCCACTGTACAAGCTGTACTTGAATGCAACTGCTCTTCATATCATGCACACCAAATTGCATTGTTTCATATGTGACCTGATGAGTGCTAGTTAATGATTAGCATCTAACACTTCTTTTGGCTTGTTTTGGACAACATCCATCGTCTGGTATGTAAAAGACAAAAGACCAGACCACAATGTTTCAGAGACTGGATCTGTCTCCTTCCTCAGGTGGGTAGGGTCTTTTGTCTTTTACATACCAGACGATGAATGAAGTCCAAAACAAGCCAAAAGAAGTACAGTATATGAAGGGGGACCCAAAAATAACCAGAACTGACCTGTTGCGCGCGCATGCTTTGTAGTTACGAGTTGTGCTGCTAGGTGGTGTTAGCTGGGGGTCTCCCGCAACTGTTAGTGAGCTGGCGTCAAGTCTGAGTTAAGTGGTTTGTCTGTGGTGCTCTGTTGTGTGCATTCCTGTTTCAACCCTTTGGCGATTAGTGAGATGGCCGACAAGAAAGAACAAAGAGTGTGCGTGAAATTTTGCTTTCTGTTAGGGAAAACTGCAGCCGAGACTGTTGGGATGCTTCGGCAAGCCTTTAATGATGATGCTTTGGGGAAATCACAGGTCTACGAGTGGTTTTCCCGTTTCAAATCTGGCAACATGTCAACAGAAGACATGCCACACCCCGGGCGTCCTTCGACAGGAAGAAATGACGAAAACATTGCCAAAATCAAACGTGCAATTGATGAAGATCGTCGAAAGACCATTGACCAACTTTCTGAGGAAACGAACATCTCATGGAGCACGGTCCAGCGAATTTTAACCGAAGGTTTGCACATGAGACGGGTGTCTGCAAAATTTGTTCCTCGCTTGCTCGGAGATGACCAAAGAGAAAACCGCGTGAATGTTTGCCGCGACTTGAAGAGTGAAGTGCAGAACGATCCAGAATTTCTTAAAAGAATTGTGACTGGCGATGAGTCTTGGTGCTACGGGTATGATCCAGAATCAAAGCAATCATCAAGCCAGTGGAAAACTCCATCTTCACCACGACCGAAGAAAGCGCGTCAAGTGCGATCCAATGTGAAAACAATGTAGATTTGTTTTTTTGATGTGAATGGCATTGTCCACAAAGAGTTCGTTCCGCCAGGACAAACAGTGAACCAACATTTTTACCTGGATGTGTTACGAAGATTACGAGAGAGTGTGCGACAAAAACGGTCCAAAATGTGGAGAAATGGGAACTGGTTGCTTCACCACGACAATGCTCCAGCCCACACAGCTTTGACGGTCGGACAGTTTTTGACAAGCAACAACATGGTGATTGTGCCTCATCCACCTTACTCACCCGCCCTGGCTCCGTTGGACTTTTTTTTTTGTTTCCACGGATGAAGAGAAGTCTGAAAGGAAAGCGATTCCATGATGTGGATGAAGTCAAAGAAAACATGCTAAAGGCTTTGAACAGTATCCAGCCTCAAATTTTCCAGCGCTGTTTTGAGCAATGGCAAAAGCGTTGGGACAAGTGCATTAATGCACATGGACAATACTTTGAAGGGGACTAATATACAGTTCAATAAAAATGCAAAAATAAAAAATAACAAAAATAAATTCCGGTTATTTTTGGGTCCCCCCTCGTACACCACCATCACAATCCTTTCAAGTCTACCACGATCTAACACATTTTCATTCTGCATGCTGTGTCTGCCATGGTCATGTGCTGGTGGCATGAATGCCCCTGTATCCCTCAGACTGTGATATACCATTGCAAACACGTTTGTTCAATTGCCTCCAATCTAGCTACAATGCTGATAATATCTCGATGCTGTTCTAGCATTTCCATCTCAAAAGCCATACACAAAATGCAGATCAGCATAATTGCCAATATTCTGCATTAGTTAATTGTGGCATCTTATTTTGCTGCTATCAGCACTTTGCCATTGGAAGTAATGTGAGTCACATGTGAGTGCAGTATGAGCCATCTTGAGAGGTTATGAAGGCTCCACCACAGGAATATACATAAAAAAATAAGACTAAAATTTTGAAATGTCATAACTCTGAAATGGTGAATTGGACAATTAACTGTTTACATTTTCTGCTCCAAATTATCTCAACAATCTCCTAAAGTCTGGTCATAAGACTTTTCAGGCTTTAAACTTTGTATAATCAGTATTCATTGTGGTATTAATTTCTCGTGAAGTTATGAATTCTTGGTATAATGTACTGTGCATTTTAGTTACACCTTGCTTATATTTTGCAGGAAGTCATTCTATACAGTACAAAAATGATATTAGAGAGCTACAATGCCAACAGTGTATAGACTTTCTCCTTAATCATCCAGTCTAAATAGAAGGGAACAGAATAATCATTTGCACTTTCTAAAAGGAGTGCAGTAGTGGCTAGGCCTGCTAGGGTTTCTTCCCCATTCCAGTTGTCTGTCTCTAATCACTCCCTTACTGCCTTCTTCACTTTTGAATAAATGGAACCATTCTTTATTTATTTTGTTTTGGTTACGTCAGTTCTTGGAGAACACCTGGGTAGTTAAATGTCTGATTTCAGATTCTGAATCCAGGAATGTCTGGAATACAAAGCAGGAGAATACAGAAGAAATTTACTGCTACGTGAATCTGTACAAAGACAGATTCTGTTGGTGAACCATAAGTTGCCCATGCCTGTTGATCATTCATACAATTCATTAGGAAACGCTTACAGCATTATACATTTCAGTTCAACTTGATCAAATCCACAACTATTGATGTATCTCCACTAGAAAACAAGAACAGTAAAATAAATAATTAATCATTAAAATGAACTCATATGATCTAAGAGTAGTTCATTTTAAGTGAAGTTTTCAACATCAGAGAGGAACATAAACTTCCCAAATCTACTTCCAGTCTAATTACTTTTTGAATCTGTTAGATTTACAACACCTGCAAAACAACTCTTAAAAACTGGCATACTGTAAATGTTTGATGAAATAGTGGGGGCTAAAACAGTAGCCTGCACTCAAATTGTGGCTGAGTACTGCCATAAAAATAGCAAGAAGATGCTAATTGTTGCTCATCTGATGCTACCATTATTTGACAGAAAAGGACATCTTTTTAAACTCACACATATTAATTTATTTTATTCTTTAATATGTGTTATTTACTCCAACCAGGAAACATTTCAAAATTCATGTACAGTTCATTCCATTTGGACTCAAACAGCCTGCTTGCAATATCATGGCAGTAGTTTACCGTGTGGATGGGGGAAATGCTGCAGGGGATTTCCATGCCTTCACCAAACAGAACTGCATTACTGATTACTACAATAAGGTAATACAAACCTACCATATTTTATTAGAACTACTAGAACTGACCCCTTTCTGCCTGCAACACACAAACAAGTTTTGCGACACATTTTGACATCCTGAAGTGACACAGCACACCATATCTCTATTATGCTCTGTAATAACACTTGTTGTCCAGCATTATGATTCTTTCACTCCATACTTTTATATTGTGTGTACTAACATGATCATATGTAACAAAGAAAAAAGAAGATGCAGCAACATTATGAACACTACAGCCACTCATGCAGTTAACAAATGTGGTGTGCTTGATACAGTAGTGCGTGAAAGTTCTACTTACTCAAATCTTTCTGTCTTTTCCACAAGTAGTGGTGTGGTGTGCACAGTGAATTATTCACTTCAGAGCTTCATAAATGTTTTGATACATTTATTTATGTACTAAAAGGCATACCTGCAAGTAGCGGGGAAGGGGGTCAGTCCTAGCAGTTCTTATAAAGAATAGTAAGTTTCTGTCAGCATTGTATAACAATCAATAATGAAGTTCAGTTTAAGTTGAGAGAGAGAGCGCTAAAGTTAAGGGAACCTCCTGCACTGTTATCTCTACAGTCATGCAGGAAACTACTGACATGCTGTTGCAAGCATCATGTTTTTACCTCACCTGAACACACTGCATTATATTATAAAACTGTAAATGTCTAATTAAAGTCTGGGGCTTAGACAGTAGCCACAGGCAAGCACAAAAATTGTAAACAGTACCTGAACCACTAGTCAAACATTTATCACAAGGTCCTTCGTTTAACCAACACTTTTTCATATAACGTCAGTACTACGTGAAGTGAATAATATTCAAATTCGTTACAGAACTACAGATGTTAGGATAGGGGACCGATAATGAGAAACTTCCCTGAAGTGTCATTTCAGTTTTTGTTAACACTTAACACCTTTGCAAAATAGGATGTTAATAATTTAAACACTGTATTTAGATGCACAATTTTCACAATTACACATCCTACAAATGGTGGACAACCAAGACCAGACTTGGCTTGTCACCAAGGTCACTGTTCCAAATCTAGGTCATCCAATGCTTCATCTAGGTCATCTAAATCTTCATCATCATCAATGAACAAATTCTCGTTAATAGGAATAGCTGTAGCACCCTCACTTCCTCCACCTGGATCTTCTGGACAAAACGATAAGTTGACTGAATTAATAAATATACCTCTTATAATATGCTAAATTTTAAAACATACAAATCAAAATGGTTATCCCATGCGGTTAAAAAGCTTAAGGAGTGATTATCACATAAGGTATTGAAATACAATATATACTGAAAGGTAGAGGAAATGACAGTAGGTCCACAAAAAGATGGAGTGATGAAGCTGAACAAAGCTTTAAGACTAATATGTAAAGGAACAACAACAAAAAATATACAAAAAACAATGAATGCACCTGATGATGACTTCTTAATGTTGATATACTGAGTGATTTGAATGTGGGAAGAGGGATGTCTATATGTGCCTCTCTTCTGGGAAACACCAAGACTCCCCCTCCCTCTAGATGGTTTAGGAGACTGTCAAAGGCCAAGGAGTAATCAAGAACCCACAACAGATCTCTAGAAAAGATGCAGCCACAAATCAGTGATTGCAAGACAAAAAGAAAACAGTGAGTGTTGAGTGTGGACAGCCAGTGCAGACATGGTCTGTGGCAAATTGCATGTTAGTTCAGTGCAAGGTACAAGAAGAGTCTCAAGCAAACTGGTAAGTAGCACAGACGTTATGAGCAGCACAGAGAGAAAGACATGAACAGTGTGTGCCGCGTATCAAGTAGAGGAGGGATAAATTGCATGAAGAGGACAGTGCAATGGCATTACAATGAAACAGTAGTAGACAAAGACAAACTGATATCAAGATTATAAGTGGCTAGTGGTGGGAAGACAATAACTGTTCCAAACAGGTATAAATGTTACAGTAATATTGTGACATTAATGGTGAATGTAAAACGGTAATTTGCTCTTATGTCTAAGCACTGCAACTTTATGGCATACAGAAGTGGAGGCAAAGCTACATGTATTATTAACTTGGACATTAGATGAAAGTGAGTGGTCAGATTCAAGCTCTAGTCAGTTTATCCCTGGGTAAAGGGTCTTCAGTTTCAACTACGTGGTCCCCAGAACCAATCTGCACATTAGTCAAAAAGCAAAATTCCTGCTGTGGGTTGAATATCCAACATTCATCCTATAGCCAGACATTTTAATTAACTACGCTTTCTCCTCTCATGGTATGAATGGTTTTGCTTAGAAACATAAAGTATTGTTATCAACCATGACAGACAACAAGTGACATTAAACACAAACCCTATAGGAAATTTAAGTGTATGAAATGTTCAATAAAATTAAAATATTAGAAGTTTTGCAATAAAGAAACAACTACGAAAACTTATGTATCAAGATGGGAATAAAGCCTGTTTCAACAAAACTTTAATTTAAAAAAGGGCAAATGTTGCAACTCATGTAATTGCCTTGCTCATCATCTACACCTAGGGTCTCCAAATTACGGTCCGTGGGCCACGTGCAGAAATGCGCCAATTGAACTAATTTTCCGATAAGTACTGGTAAATGTGATTCTGAGCTTATTCACCTGACATATTATACTGCAGTTCGATGGCTTAGCTGTGGAAAGGTTCTTTCGTGCTTCTTTCAGCTCAGGAATGAAATTGATATATTTCTTACCGAAAAAAACCATCACGAACCACTTTTATCAGATATCGAGGGGCTTTGGAAATTTGCATTTTTTGCTGATATGGCGAACCATATGAACCATTTGAATTTAAAGTTGCAGGGTGAAAATAACTTAGTCTGTGGATTTATTTGCACTTATCAAGGCATTCAGAACAAAGTTCATACTTCTTGGAAAACCAAGTGAAAAATTGTAACTTTGTTCATATGCTATACTGTGCAGAGTTGCATAAAAAGGGTGAAGCAGAATTTCCTTCCTCGTTTGCAAATTTAGTCATTTCAGATTTGAAGGAACAATTTCGGAACCGATTTCCTGATTTGGATTCCAGTGTTCAGGAAATTAGATTGTTTCAAAATCTGTTTGACTGCAATGCTGCAGATGTCCCAAGTCAAATTCAAATGGAAATTATTGAACTTCAGGAAAATTATCATATTAAAGACAAATGCAAGGAAGGAAATTTGATCGAATTTTATAAATTTCTGAACTCTGAGCAATTTCCAAATTTACAGAAATTTGCTTGTAAATTTATCTGCATTTTTGGGATGATATATCTGTGTGAACAAACTTTTTCTCAGATGAAGTACATCAAGTCGAAATACAGGACAAATTTATCCAATGAACATTTAAAGTCGCTACTTGTGATTAGTGTTTCAAAATTTGAACCTCAATTTAATCAGATTATAATAATCAAAAAGAATTCCATCATTCACATTAATTGTTTTATTATAATTTGTGATGAAAATATGAGCATTTGCTGCTACTTACTGTCTGTTGTCATTAATATACGATAATTTATTCTCACGTCCTTTGTATTTAGTTTATGAAACTCTGCGTTTTCAATAAAACTCATATACCTAGAGTTATTAATTTTTCATTTTATCAAGCCTGTTGAAAGTGCTGAATTATCTAATGTGGCCCGCAGTTCGAAAAGTTTGGAGACCCCTGATCCACACAGATCTAAAACTCCTCATATGCTGAACTGTATGTTTTATCACCATGAAGAGATGGGTGTAAATGATTTCCTGGTAATGTCTTACTGTTAGAGGAAGATTCACTTAAGAAATTCTGGGCTGCTAGGTGACAAATAGCTTATTAGTGAAGACCAGGCCATTAGCCATTAACCAACAAATATACAATCCCTTATACTAACATCCTCTCATTCCTTGCAGGGGCAGGAGATGTTTCTCTTCTTCAGTTTCCAGACTAGCTCTGGGGCCCACCCAGCCATTTGCCTAATGGGGACTGGGGGTAAAGTGGCTGTGATGTGACGCTGACCACTCACCTCCATTTAGTGAGGAGGCTGAGAATACATGGAACTATACCTCCAATCCCCATGTCTTCATGGTGTCATGCTTAATTAATTAAGCACATGAATTTCACCCTCTACTTTTACACTAAAACCCTGGCACAATAAACCAAATCTTAAGAAGATCATTAGTCTCATCACGCACAAAAACACAAAGTTATAAATCTTGCTGGACCATAAGCACGGCCCATAAGGAAGAATAAAAAGGTAAAGCTATCTCTGTAGCAGGGCATGAAGGTCCATAGGGTTGTGAGACATCAAGGCTCCCATGCTTTCTCTAGACAACTGGCGGTGAGGCTGTCAGCCTTATGCCCAGGCCGCCTCTTACCCCCCTGGAATATTCCTGGTACTCACTTCTGTTAGAGGCTGAGTTAACCTCAGGGCCATAGTGGGGCTGGAAGGATTAGGACAATTGAAAATTCCACCTCAATGGGACTTGAACACGCAATCTTTTGGCTTGTAGCACAGTGCCTCAACCAACTATGCTTCCGCATGCCCCAAATGAAGAATAATCAAATTAGTATTAGGTATATTATATTTAAGCATCCTGTTACATTCCACGCTTCTATATGTATAATATAAACTCCGCCGTAAATGTAACACTTTATTGTAGTTCTTGTCCCCCTTCTTTCACACTACATGTTTCGGCCATAATCAGTCATCATCAGGTGTATTTCACTTCATGTAGCTGTCACACTGCACTCAATGTTAACATTTCAATTCCAGATTTACAATTGTTCATTTTCTGTCGTCAATCGGCACCTGATATTCCAAAACTCCCCTTGTCGATTTTGTCAATTGTGTTCTATGAATACTCACATGTCGATTGGTTAAAATTTTTAAATTCTCATTTACTTACTTACCTACTCATTTAGCTTTAATATTTAAAATTTAAATTTAGATTAAAAAACCAGAATCACAGGGATACCTGCTCTATGCTTATATGTGCTGCAGTGGCTACCTCTTGCTTTCAGCACAACTTGTGTGTTATTTTGTACAGGTTCTCTGTGTGCGTGCCACTGCTTTTCTTTAATACGTTAGCTGACATGCATTTCATGAAGCACACAGGAGGTTACACAATTTCTGACCACAAAAAGAAATGAAATACAATTACGAATGTTAAGAGACACTGGAAAAGACATATGATCTAGTGACAAATGAGCCCAAGCAGATTACACTATAACATCAACAACAACAAAAGAGAGAAAGAAAGAAATAAACAGAGAAATTCTTAGGATGTCATTTGAAAAGCTAAAATAGATTTTGTTTTGTAATTCCTATATGAGGCCAACTGAAACCCAGTACTAGGATGATGATAAATAATATGAATACAAACTAATTGCTTTTACAGCTGCCAATATTCAAATGAAGTATGTAAAGATAAAAGCAGTAACAGACCAGATAAGATGACTTCCCCATTTGTTGTGCTGCGATTGGTCTCCTTGCATTTCAAGCGATCCTCAGAGGCCTGAGTTCCTGTTCCATCCACTTCTTGGGCCTCCATGGCCAAGGCATCCAACTGAATCTCACGGTACTACCAAAATAACAAAAGAGAGAACCTCTGTATAAACTGACACCACTATGTAAAGAACCAACACTGAGATATTACTACAAGAATTTTCACAAACATAAATCAGCTAAGAATCTTCTGAAACATAATGTCATGTGGTCTGCTGAAAGGTAACTAATGTTTTGGAGGAACTTGCTGCCAAGAAACTAGCATGAAGCAGGTAGCAAGGAATGCAACACATTCCTCCTAAATGTCTGGCAACTTTCAAAACACTACACAACGTTATATCCCAGAAGATAAGACCTATTCATAATCACTGCTGTGAGAACCTCAAATCCTATATAAATCAGCTGAACTGGCAAGGAAAGGAATCAGGTGTATAGCAAATATGGAGGGTCTGTAAGAATTATTTCACTAATTACATAATATGTGCAAAGAACAAACCCGGAAATGACAGAGCCCAGGTCAAACTTTTTCATTCCATCCTGTAGACATCCTTTATTTCCTATAGGGTTCTGACGATGGTGTATAACACATAGAGATATTTGGTTTTCGGACTTTATCCATCGTCCTGGTTTTAAGATAACTAAGAAAAACACGACGTTTCGGAAATTGGATCTGTTTCCGTCCTCAGGTGAGCTAGCCTCAATTACTGGATTGAGGCTAGCTCTTTCTAAGGGACCCAAGAGAACAGGTGTTTTCCCTCACCTGAGGACGAAAACAGATCCAGTTTCTGAAACGTCATGTTTTTCTTAACCAAATATCTCTATCCTGTATTTCATTCACGAACAACATTAACCTTTACCCATATGTTTAGCACTACTGCAAGGATGTATGTGTGACCCAGCTGGTTGAGTGTTTCAGCACTGCAGGACTAATATACCCCTTTATTCTGAGCCATCCATAGCAGCTATTGCATTGGAATTTTGTGTAATATTCTGACAGACTTCTGTTACGCATTCCTAGGGTGTGCTGTTTATAAGCATTTACTCTAGGAGGGGCATTGCTAGACAGTGAATTCCAGTCATCAACTCACATAATTTTCATGTAAGTATTCTGTCAATATGCCATTCACACTGTTCAAGGTCTTGCCAGATGATCTCTGTGTCACAAGGAAGAATGAAATAAAAGTTCACTTAAGTGTCTATATTTCAGATTGGTAGTGGGATGTGACGCTAGAAGGTAAACAGTATTTGGAAGTTTCAAACATATTGTCACATGTTGGGTATGTTACGTGACAAATAACTTCACGCCATCTTGGATGTAGCGAATTTATTGAACACTCGCTCTTACACTTATACAATTCACAGTTTCACCACTACTGCCATCTGCAGTATCACAATTACTTCCACTGCTCTCCGCGACTTCACAATCCACACTGTCACTCCTGATCACACATCACACACTCTACTCACATACTGCTCAGCCGGCTTTTTATACCGTTTCCTGTTGCCTTGTGTTAACAGCAGTATCCCGTTACGTCACAGTGGGAAGTGTTGTTACATCACTGTGGGGGGGGGCAGAGTGTTTACTGGCCTGTTACCATAGCCGCAGCAGTGGCTCGGATGCTGTTATGTCACCACTGGAGGGGGGGGGATCCTGCATAGTGCAAATATGTCACACTGCTCCCTTCTAAAGATTGTTCATCCCAAACAGCCTAACGGTACATCACCGTTCCTTTTCTTTGAAGGCTGTTCTTGCGTGTATTTTTTTGTTGTTGTCCGGCTACTCCTCTTGCAGCGACTATCCTCCGGCTGTTACATACACTCCCTTCTTAAGATTGTTTGTCCCGAACAATTCCATGGTCCAGCGTTGTATCTTGTTCACTCCTCACTTTCATTCTCCATTCATGCCAGGGAGGCCAGTGTTTCTATATTACTGACTCCTCCTAGATCCGTTGTCTTTTCCGTTTTGGAGGGGGCCAACCCCTCCACAAGGTCCAATTCTTCATTTTTGGTAACCTACTGGAAGTTCCTACTGCTCGCTCCATGAATTCCAGCTCTAGCATCTTCTTATAGGCCAGTCCTATTTTTCCCAGAGGTGACAGATGTCTTGGGATGCACCCTCCGATACTGATTGTGGTTGCTCTCTTCTTTCTCTCCTATAGCGGCCGCTTGCCGCCTTGGTCTTTAATTCCATTTTTGCATTCAGGTCTCATTCAATATCTCCTCCCAAGCATCTGTGCTTTTGGGGTTCCTTGTACCACATTGCCATGGCTTTGTTCATAATGCCTGTGTCCTGCACAGCATGTAATCTTCCTTATGGCTGAGGTTACTTCTTTCTGTGGTCCACAATTTCCATGGGTCATAATTTTTCTGAAGATGTTCCTCTTGCACCATGCCACTGTTGCATGACGGGACACCTTCCTGCAGGCGGCAGCCAACTTCATCCGGGATCCACAATCTCCTCAGGTCAGTTCCATTGGTTCTCCACGTCACCCTGCACCTTGCTTCTTGCCCGTGTTGCTTCTTCTGTCCTTTGGCCGGTTTCACTATGGCATCTTTTACTGGGACATCTTGTTGTTCTGCCACCTCAGGTTTCCTGTCCAGTGAGGCCGACTCTTCTTCTTCTAGACATTCCATCATCCCTTGGCAGGCCATCGTCTTTACATCCATTTCGGGTTTGAGTTCAGGCACCATCTCCTTGTGGCTGGCACCCCTATTTTCTCGCATGGCTTTCTTCCTTGCTTTGATCGCTTCTGTCTCTGCGGCAATCTCTTGTCGCGAGGCTTTTCTATCGGTGTCTGCCTTTTCTCGGTCGGACCTCATTTCTTTCAGCATTTCAATTATTAGTTGAATGTCTTGCTCCATTTTCTCTCTCTCTCTTTTTGTCAGGACAACACTCGATGTACTCGTAAATTCAATAATTCTTCCTAGATCGAGGCGTGTTTAAGTTCGTAGACACTTCTGACACCAAATTGTCACGTGTTGGGTATGTTACACGACAAATAACTTCATGCCGTCTTGGACGTACCGAATTTATTGAACACTCGCTCTTACACTTATACAATTCACAGTTTCACCACTACTGCCATCTGCAGTATCACAATTACTTCCACTGCTCTCAGTGACTTCACGATCCGCACTGTGTCACTCCTGATCACACACTCTGTTCACATACTGCTCAGCCAGCTTTTATACCGTTCCCTGTTGCCTCGTGTTAACAGCGGTGTCCCCTGTTACGTCACAGTGGGTAGTGCTGTTACATCACTGCGGGGAGGGGGTATCCTGCATAGCGCAAATATGTTACAATATTATCATTACAGTATAACTGAAATAAAATAAGAAATACATCAAATTGATATATGTTTATAGTTTGGTGGGACAGGAGAAGTTGTGATGGGGAAGACATCATCGGAAGTTTCAGATACAGATACCTGTGTAGTCTTGTTATACTGGTGGGCAACAGTGATATACGTAATGTATTACTCTCAAATAGAATATAATTTTCTCTTTCAGATAAAAGTGTATAGGCATGGAACAGGAATCTAATTTTGAAGAGTGACTAATGATCAGCTGATGATGGAAGTGAGCCTGATGAAGATACTGCAGCAGGAGGTGACAACTATAATGTGAATGGAAACTGAATTATAACTGGATCAAGTACAATAAATATTTGAACACATTTAATAATCATGCTGCCTGCAACTTCTTTATGTGACTGTACAAGAGATGTATCTCTTTTTGGCCAATTTAAAACGGACATGATTTCAGGAACACAGTCAAAGATTACCAATCCCCTCTTACACATTTGTACATAATATCTGACAGTAAAACATAAAATGTGACTAATACTGATTGTATTTCAACTGCAATGGTTATAAAATGCCAAATGAAACGGAATGATGACTGTGATCAGGTAAGGACTGGGAAGGCTGTGGAAATGATATGTTTCAAAGAATTATCCCCATGTAGTGCGAGAGAGAGGAGGAGATAGATGAGTGTATGCACTGGAAGACGGTTGAAATAAATCATGAATTATCCCAGCTTTACTAGGAGAGACTGATATAAACCCCGAAAACTCTGTCAGCATAGCTGCAATCCAAGTCAAAATTGAAACTGTGCACCCCTCAAATAGAAATCTAGAAAGCTACTGCTTTACATGAAATTCAAAGGATACTCAGTAAGAGTAAAGGTAATGATAAAGATGTATAAGGTCAATGGAAATTCAGCTCCACACATTCTAAACTTCACCAACAGCTGCAGGTAAGTGGTCAGCTTGATGTTGCATCTGCTTTACACCCAGTGACATATCCCAGTGCCCTGTAGACAGGAGACTGAGGAAACTCCAGACAATAAAGAACACATATGGTTGTAACTTATTCTATGGCAGTGTTCTGTAACCGGTGCACTGCGGCACAGCCGTCACAAGGTGAAAGGTGTGACGTTAACTTTTACCTATTGTAAGAAATTAATTGTCGAATTTTATTCGTTTTATTTTATCCCAGTTACCGTGTTTCATATGCTTGTATTTTATTCTCAGCCACTGCACTGATTAAATAAGATGATGTTTGTTTATTCTTTACTAGCTGTAGCCGGCCACGTGTTGCTGTGGCTCAGTCTAATGAAATATTTCAATTCAAATGCAGATTAATTGACACAGCTCAATCGCACCGCCAATTGCAAAGGAGAACGGTTAAGAAAACGAAATGAAAATCAATGAAAAATAAAACTATACTCACGAAATGAACGCTATGGTAAACGACACAGCCCAATTCCAACGCCCAAATCCAATTTATATTTATATAGATGTAACGTGTTTGGGCACGTCATGCGAGTATTTATTGTTCTTCACTTTTACACTTATACACTTTGCAAGAATTGCCACTTGCAGTATCAGAACTAATTCGGATGGGATAGGGAATACCTTATCGAAGAGTTAGTTTCATCTGTTGCTTAGGAAATGCTAGCACAGAACACCTTGTAGAAGTGTTTGGTTTCATCCGTTGTTACGCAACGGAACCTCTTATCCTCTCATCTCCGTGGAAACGTGTTTGTTGTTTCGGCAATTCCTATGCAACGGCCCACTGTTATTGCGTTTCCATGGAAGTATACTTTCCGGTTTCATCCTTTGTTACACAACGGAACCTCTTATCCTATGCAATCAGTGAAGAACTTTCGGAGATCTTCGAAGGGTAACAAACCAACATTTACATTTTTATTTATGTAAATAGACAGAAGATAGATTGACATTTTTAATGATTTTAACATCATAAAGTATTAAAATACATTTTTAGTGAGTGACATATTCTTGATGTCTTTTAAATTGTTGCATTATTTACGTGTACTTTGATAATAAGAATATGTCGCGTGTTACCTATGTAACGTTGTTGTGGTCACGTGTCTCCTATTCAGTGCGACAAATAACTTCCACGTACGTCTCGGATTCAGCGAATAAGTTATTGAACGCTCACTTTTACACCAGCGAGTACAATTATTATCACGTCCAGTATCACCGAAAAACTCTTCGGAGCTGGACTATTATAACCTGGTTTCGGACGCAATAGAGGGCACTTTCGCCCAGGGTTCCATTTCACGTGTTCTGTGCTCGTTGCCGCAGAAATGCATTACTTCCGCTGTTTCAACAGTTCGTTGCCACGGTTATTCCTAGGCAACGATCTGTTGGTATTCGATGGATGACGTATAACACGTTAGAGTATATTAATATTGAGTACAATTAATACTTTAACAACCAACCAAGCTGTCACAGGTGTGACATGTATATAATAGATCTTCGAAGGGTAACAAACCAACATTTACGTTTTTATTTATATAAATAGATAGAAGACATATTGACATTTTTAACGATTTTAACATCATAAAGTATTAAAATACATTTTTAGTGAGTGACATATTTTTGATGTCTTTTAAATTGTTGCATTATTTATGTGTACTTTGATAATAAGAATATGTAGCGTGTTACCTATGTAATGTTGTTGTGGTCACGTGTCTCCTATTCAGTGCGACAAATAACTTCCACGCATGTCTCGGATTCAGTGAATAAGTTATTGAACGCTCACTTTTACACCAGCGAGTACAATTATTATCACGTCCAGTATCACCGAAAACTCTTCGGAGCCAGACTATTATAACCTGGTTTCGGACGCAATAGAGGGAACTTTCGCCCAGGGTTCCATTTCACATGTTCTGTGCTCGTTGCCGCAGAAATGCATTATTTCCGCCGTTTCAACGGTTCGTTGCCACGGTTATTCCTAGGTACCGATCTGTTGGTATTCGATGGACGACGTATAACATGTTACAGTATATTGAGTACAATTAATACTTTAACAACCAACCAACCTGTCACAGGTGTGCCATGTATATAACAGGTACATAAAAACACGCGCGTGTTCGAATGCAACGTTGTATCAAAATTTTGAAGCAATCAGTGAAGAACTTTTGGAGATCTTCGTGGGCTAACAAACCAACATTTACATTTTTATTTATATAGATTATATGCTGTGATTTTTTATGTACAGTAATGTTGTATTCTAAGAAATTAAACGTAAATTATTTACTCACAGTTGTTGTTATATCATAGTTTACATTCTTGATTTATTTTTATTTTTCTCGCATCTACGCAGCTTCTTTGATATGCTTGCCGCATATTCAGTGTACGTGCTTTTCCCTAAAACTGCAGGGATTAGCATGGGTTTTCCTGTCTTTTATAACGCTGTTTTGGTATTTGCCCCTGTTTCTTAGAAGTTAGAGCTTCTTCAACTATATGGCTTTCTTCCTGTAATGATGCACCCACCAATTGTAGGACTTCATTTAAAATTATAAATATTTCAAAAATAAGTCGGTATAGTGTCACTTCTTCCTTTTGAAGAGTAGAGATCCCGCGTTTTACAATTGTTTCAGTTCTATCACAGCTGTGCTCTGAAGTAGTTCGCAAATTTTGGTTGCTAGTTAGAGAATTACAGATGGGTCGTTTGAGATGTCCCCGACTGTATGGCCACTTGCTGACGGCAATAAAGTGGTGATGGACACAATTAAAGAACATTTAGAAATGCTGCAGCAGAAATTTAATAAGTATTTTGGAGAGAGTGTACAAGATTTCGACTGTGTTAGTGATCCATTTGTTGTGAATTCACAACATCTTCCGATTAATATACAAGAGGAACTCGCAGATTTAAAAGCAGACAGAACATTGAAACTAAAACTTCTTGAAGTGCCTTTGGACACGTTTTGGTTGGCAATAAGGAGTGGATACCCGGCTATCTCCAACATGGCAGTT